CCTACAAGAGATTCTGATCATAAGTGCTAGTCCTACACTCTGTTTCGGTGGTGAGTGTTACCAAGGACGTGTCTCCAACTTAGACTAACAAATTTACAAGTAATAATGTTGAAAACCCTTTTTTGTAAATAACTGAAAGGATTATAAAGTATGAGTTTGTAAACTGTGGTATGGATTCCCAAACTATACCTATTATAGTTTGTGTGTACATATTTGTAAAACCTTGTATGCATTCCCAAACTATACCTATTATAGTTTGTATGTTTGTAAGTGTAAATCATGTATTGTTCTGAAAACCATGTGGTTAAGTTCGTACGTTGAAAACGTCCCTTATGCTCAGCATAATACAAAAAGGATAAAATATCTAAAATATTTTGTAAAACTGTAGAAACTGTGTGTTTGTACTGATTTCGTCCGTTTTAAGTTTACTGAAATCCGTTTGTGTAACTTTCATGAAATCAGTTATGTTTGGCTTGTATCCCCCCTGAAAACATTAAAAACTCAGAAAATGTAGGGGTCTGAACTCACCTTGAGTGAGTGGTTTGCACGAAAGACCGGTATGAGGTGTTGAGTGTCAAGTGAAGCCTCGAACACGACTTGATCCTAATTAACATGTAATGACACATATAGGAGTCATATGGAGGTATTTCACTACTAGATATGATAGGAAACCACTCTAGGGACTTGGAACCACTTGCACTAAGTGTTAGAACCTTATAGGATTGAGTGAGGGAGGTGTACGACCACCTTAAAGGTGTGTGTGGTCATGGGTGTGCGGCCCATGAGGTGTGCGGTCGTACACTCATGATGAAAGGTATCTTTGAGGTGTTTTCAAGGTTTATACTTGTATCCATGAAGTGTTCTAGGTCCAAACCTAGTTGTAGTGCAAGTTTGAGGTCAATGAAGGTCATAGAAATGGGTTTGCGGCCCTAAGGTGTGTGTGTGGCCGCACAAAGGAGTGTGCTGCCGCACACACTTCATGTTTATGTCCAAAAATGTCAACCTTAAGGTGCAACAAGGCTAGGGTCATGTCCAACTTGAAGATAGGGGTCAAACTCTCACTTTGGAGGGTCTTTTAGGAGTGTGCGGCCACCTTATGGGGGTGTGCGGCCGCACTCCCTTCTAAACATGAAGAACATGATGAATATTGCAGTCTCAAGGCTTAGATAGAGTGGTCTTTCAAGGTTAACAAGTTAGAGGATGAATTACTCACGTTCTTGAAGCTTTGAAGGGTTCACAGTTGAAGAAGCTTGAGAGAATGGTGTAGTGTGCGGCCAAGGAGTGAAAGGAATGAAGGGAAAGGGGTCTGCCCTTTATATAGGGGTGGGTGTGTGGCCATGAGGGGTGTGTACGGCCGTACACCCATGTGTGCGGCCGCACACTCCTCCAAAAGGGGTGTATGGCCTGATTTTTTTCACTATACGACTTGCTGACTTATTCCTAATCTCTACCTTGGTTGTACTCAAGCTTAGAACGCTTAAATGAACCCTTAAACAGTGCTAGAAGTTAACAGAGACGAGTTTAACATAGATTATATTGACTAGATGTACCAGGTAGAAGTTTCGGGTTGTCACATCATTAATCAGAAGAGGGCGACAAGGGTAATTCTCATGAAATTTAGAGGAAAAGAAAACTTGAGTCTCCTTTTGATGACATTTGTGTCAGTAATCCATTCCCCATTGATCATTAACCCGTTAATATTTCTCCTCCTCTTCTTGTATTTGATTGAATTATGAAAGAATCGAGAGTTCTCATCCCCATCAACAAGCCAAGTAATTCTTGATTTCTGAATCAGATCAGACTTAGCAAAATTTTCCATCTCCAAAATTCGTTGCTTTTTATCTCTCTTTTCCATAATTTCCAAATCTGAGAGGAGTCTACATTCAGCCTTAAGCTCCAACTGATCAACTCTAGCTCTCAAGTCAAAAAGAGACTTATTTTCTTTCTCATACTCAACTCGTCTCCAATTCTTGATACAGCTTTTCACAAATCTAAGCTTATCAGAAAGATATCGATCAGGAGCACCTCCCCCATTGAACTTATCCCATGCATCTTTAACTAGCTGATCAAAACCGTCTCTGAATAACCACGATTCGAAGAAGAACTGGGCAGTGATCTGAGTGCTCCCTTGGAAGAGCGATAGCCGCAACGCAGGGAAAGGCAGCCAAGAATCTAGGGCACACAAGAAAGCGATCCAGTTTGCTCAATTTACATCCATCATCACAGAAATATGTGAATCTCCTTCCCCCTATGTTTAAGTCGATTAAGCCAACATCAAGAATGAACTTGTTAAAAACAGCCGTGATGCTAGGGTTATATAAAATCAAAAACTAAAAGTTAATAAAAGTTAAAAGCTCAAAAAAACTTTGGATTAAAAGTTTTTTTTGTTTAAAATAAAAGTTAAAATGTCGTATTACTCTACATACTTTTTCTCTCTCTAATTCGGGTTTTTTATTTATATAAAAATTAAAAATCAAAATGCTTATAAAACTCGATACCGAACATACCCTCAGGGACGGTTCTATTTGGGTGCCCGCAGTAGCACCGGCAACCCTTGCTTTTTCTGTACACAGTGTAAATTTTTTGATATTTTTTGTTTTTTTTTTCTTTTTTCTACTTACTGGCAACACCTACTACGGACCGGCAACACCTACTACCAAATCTTGCGTCCGTCCCTGAATACCCTAGTCCGAAACACCACCAAGCATCACACTATTTTTTCAATACAATTTTCTTTCATAATTTCAAATTATGGTATATCATAGTGATTATTTTAATAGATGCATTGATATAACAAACTTTAAGTTTTTTTTTTTCTACAAATACAAAATGATACAAAAAATTTATATCAAGCTATGCATGATTTCATGTACACGTATTGAAGTTGCGTTATTAAGTTGAAAACTACATAACATCTTGCATGTATACATATGTCGTCATCAAAAGTCTATTTAAAAATTCAAGTCGATATATAGTCACATGCAAAAAAAGTCGGTCATAATCTCATAACCACAAATGCCAAAGAGCAGTCTAGTGCCCTTCACCATAAGTCATCCACTGCTCACGAAAAGACCAAAATGCCCTAGACTTAAGAGTACAATGTTCTGGTTTGAGGTAAAATGTTATTACGTATTAGTTTAAAATGCTTTTTCTTACATAATGAATTTAATCCCATAAACTATGTTACATATGAAAAAGAGAGACACCATAATAGACTTTCAAGGACAAAATTTTGATTTAAAATGCAAAATCGATATGAAAATCTTTACAGATATAGTATTGTATTGGTTTGATATGGAGAGTCAAACCGTGGAACGTTACTCTGAAAAGTCAAATGGATTTAAATCGATGAGAAAAGCTCAATGGTTGAAATTGGTTTGAATTATTCAAAGCCTCACTTTTAAATTCTCATGTTCATATTTGTAAACCTTTTTCATTTTTTGGCCTTTAAGAACGCGTCAAGATTAAAAAAAAAAAAATGAGACAATGAGACGTGGGTTTACTACACTCCACTTCTGTATGTTCATTATTCACAAAACTCCAATTTTTACGATCATTCTCTCATCCACCTATAATATGAAACTAGGAGACTGAATTATTACATAACCAAACATATACTATTTTTTAACCAACATTTTTCAAATCATGACAAACATCCCCATTGTTTATAAATTCCAAGAAATAATATGGTATTTTCTTGCTTACACTTATTTTATATTTTACTTATTACTTATTAGCATATACTTATATAGCCACTTAGGACATTTATAATCTATTAAACTCGATAGAACGTAGAGTTCAATGAACATGCTAAGGTGCTGTTTGTTTTTTGGAAAAAACTTCTTCAGACTTCTTATTGCTGTGCGGAGCAGCACACGCGCAACACTTTTCATCTCGCAGCTGTTTGTTTTTCAGAAGTCTTCGGATTAAAAAACCTTTGTGCGTGCTCTTCTTGATGCAACACTTGTTTTGCCTCTTCCTACCTCTTCCAACCTCTTCTTCTTCTTTTTTTCTTGATAAAATATTTGATTATATATTATTGAAATCTTATTTCACATTTTTTTTTGTTTATTCTTGTTGAATTTTTTTTTCTTTTTTTTTTATATTGAATTATAATAATTTGTTGATGAAATATCATTATTTTATGCTAAAATATCTTTATTTTTTTGTTAAAATATCATTATTTTTTGCTGAAATATCATAAATTATTGCCGAAATGTCATACATTATTAAATTTTCGGTATTAAAAAACTATATTCGGATTATAAAATCAGTTTATATTAATTTATTAATATCTGCAGCAGTATGCAGATGTTAAAAAAAGAAACACGCTTCTTATTACAGTCTGCAGCCGTTTGGTCCACCTCTTCTACTGCAGAGGTGGCCCGCAGACTTTATAAATTTTTGGTTAAAAAAACAAATAACACCTAAGTCATTAACACATCACACATCATCGATAAATACATATAAAACTGTACTTTTAAAGCCCACAACCTATTAAATACCTAATATTAATCATCACTTTAGGGGCAGACCCCCAAAAAAAAATCACCAAATTTTTAGGTGTTGCATATAAACTGATACTCAACTCCGTTACCATTTTAACAAGGTTTATAGGATTTAATCATAACATTAAACACATATTTAATTATAATCAGACACGTTATTCAATTCCTATTCTCAATTTTGTATATCACAACTCACTAACTCAGCCATGTTCCATCATCGTTTTATTGTCGTAACTTAAAAATTGTATAACCTATGGAGTCTAATTCAAGTTAAAACTAGTTGGCTAGGGTTGGCTTTGCCTCCAAAACCAGAAGATCTGAGGATGTTTAAAAGTCTATTTTGACCCTATATATGTACACTGTCCTTCAAATAAAAACGCAAAAGCTAATTTTAAAAATGAACTTAGTCTCGAGGGGTATTTATGGTAATCCACATCCTATAAAGTCAACTATTCAAAATTTCAAACTACAAAACCAAGTATTTGTGATTGTCAAAAACGAATCATCATAACCCACCTATCAATATGGCAGTCTTTTCCTTCTTTCTGTTTATCGCCACCGTTTCAACTCTCTTCGTCGCCTCATCATCAAGCACTATCACCGCCAACCGCAACCTCACCGACGGCCAAACCATCATCTCCGACGAGGAAACCTTCAGAATGGGATTTTTCAGTCCCACAAACACTTCAACAAATCGATATTTCGGAATATGGTACAACAAAATAAGCCTTATGACAGTCGTATGGGTAGCCAATCGAGAAACCCCACTCAACGACACCTCCGGCGTATTGTTACTCAACGATAACGGAACTCTCACACTCCTTAATCGCACAAAAAACGTAATCTGGTCGTCAAACTCGTCGGAAACCGGAAATAATCCGGTAGCAAAACTTCTCGACACCGGAAACCTTATGATAAGAAACTCCGGCGATACAAATCCGGATAGTTACATATGGCAAAGCTTCGATTATCCCGGCAATACGTTTCTTCCAAGTATGAAATTCGGGATTGATTTTGTAAGAGGGATAAACAAGAACCTCGTAGCATGGAAAACCGAAACCGATCCTTCAGTAGGTGAATACACGAACGGGTTCGATCCCGAAGGGTACCCGCAGATTCTTTTAAGAGCAGGTTCAGAAGTGAGATTCAATTCTGGTCCATGGAACGGATTACGATTCAGCGGGATGCCAAATTTGCAACAGAATGATATCTACACATTCGGATTCGAGCTGAATTCAAGGGAACTTTATTACAAATACGAGCTTGTGAACAATTTCACAATTTCCCGAATGATTTTGAATCCGAATGGTGCAATTCAGCGACTCATATGGATCGAAAGAAGGCAAGTATGGGATCTTTATTTGACTGCACAAATGGATAATTGTGATCGATATGGATTATGTGGTCCTTATGGTGTTTGCAACATTCGTGAGAATCAAGCTTGTGGGTGTATGCGAGGGTTTGTGCCGAGGTTCCCGGATGAATGGCAAAGGGCAGATTGGTCCAATGGGTGTGTGAGGAAAGCTGAGCTGGGCTGTGCCGACGGCGGCGATGGGTTTGTGAAGATGACCGGAGTGAAGTTGCCGGATACGAGAAAAACTCGGTATAATGTGAGTATGGGAATTGAAGAATGTGAGAGGATTTGTTTGAGGGATTGTAATTGTACAGCGTATTCGAGCATCGATGTTAGAACAGGAAGTGGGTGTTTGATTTGGGTGGATAAGTTGATGGATATTAGGGTTTATGGTGAAAATGGGCAAGATGTTTTTGTGAGAATGGCTGCTTCGGAATTACGTAAGATTGGAATTTGGAATTTGATTTTTTTTTTTGGTTGAGTTTTAATATTTTTAATATTGAAGTTTTGATTATGTGACAGATAGGAATGCTGAAGCGAAGAGGAAAGTGAGGATTATAGTGATTCCGGTGCTCGTGGGATTTGCTGTGATACTGGGATTCTGCCTGTTTGTTTTCTACAAGAGGAGGCAGAAGAAGAAAGGTAATGCCTTTAGAGGTTTACTATAAACTTCTATTTTTTATGATTAAATTTATTTTTTTGTTTTATAAAAGTATAAATATAAAAGAGTAGAAAAATGTAAATATATTGAGAAAAGTTTTTTTGTAACAGTAGAGATGTGTTGAAGTTTAATAATCAACCCATTATGGGAATGCTAGAGTGTATGGTTGAAAATAGATGAACATTTGATAATAATAAAAATCATTATTGTTTATGTTTTTATATGGTGGTGGAATTTTTCATAATGCTCTCTATCTAACGTCTACCATGTTGGATATATTCAAAAAAAAAAAAAAAGAAAAAAAAAGAAAAACCCATTTTATTGATTATATAGCGGTACACAATTTTGACAATGTGGGGGTGTTTGGATTAGCTTATTGCTTATTAGCTTATTTGTGGTGAGAATAAGCAATAAGCATGAGAAGAGATGTTTATTAAAATTAGCTTATTTAGCTTAATAAGCTGGATTTTATCCAAACACTCAAAGTTAGCTTATTGTGGGAATAAGCAATAAACATCTCTTTTTTTCCTATCCAAACACCCCTAAGATTATTTTATTATTTTATAACAATTGAACAAAAAATAAACATTTGTAGTTAAACCTTAAAAAAATAGAGGTGCCTAGGTGGAACAAAACTGAAAATTAGTTACTAGTACTATTTAATGAAATCATTTCAAATTTGTTGACACGTCTCAAGTCTATAGTCAAACTTGCAAACAAGTTATATTTGACCATTTTTTACACAAATGAAACAAAAATAAAACTTGGTAACTATTTAATGACATTAACCCTATTCAAAACCTTTATTTTTTTTTCTCAGTAAAAATTATAATAATTTATATCTACAGGTTTAACTAATCTTGTTCGTGAAATCAACTTTGCTAATGATAATGAGAGGGAAGATTGGGAATTGCCGGTGTTTGGCTTCAACACAATAGCCAATGCAACAAACAACTTTTCAGACGAGTGTAAGCTTGGAGAAGGTGGTTATGGGCCTGTCTACAAGGTCTGTTTCTTTTCTAAATTAAATAAACTGTCTAACCCCCTTAAATAAAGTAAAGGCAGCTGATCCCGATTTCCTTGATCCTTCATCTGGTTGGGCTGTCGATAGAGTAAGCTGGATGTGCTAGTCGATCTGAAACTGACTAATGACCATTTTACTCTTATATTCAATTTTTTTTTAACAATATTCATCATTTTTAACATGGAAGTAGTTGGGAGGGGAAAAAAAAAAGAAATAGGTAAACGGTTAATGTCTACAAGTGCTTAACTTATTAAGCCCATTAAGTTAAAAAGAAACAACTCCTTACTTGCAGGCCCGTCCCAGAGGGTGGGCGATAGGGGCGACCGTCCAGGGCCCATCTTTTAAAGGGGTCCAAATTTTTTATGGAAATTGTTATATTTAGAAGATAGTACAAATAATTTTCTTACAATTATTGAATTATTATAAAAAATTTGATGAAATTTTTGTGTATTTTAAGGGCCCATTTTTTGCTCTCGCCCTGGGCCCAAAATATGTTTGGAATGGCCCTGCTTACTCGTTATAAAACTCTACCAAATCCACAGTTTATAAATGATTTGATTTCTAAAAAATCTCTTTAGAATTACTATATAAAAATTCTCATGATTTACAGGGAACATTGGAAGGGATAGAAATTGCTGTAAAGAGACACTCAAGAAAATCAAAACAAGGACTAGATGAGTTTCAGAATGAAGTTAAATGTATTGCTAAACTTCAACACCGAAACCTTGTGAGGCTTTTAGGATGTTGCATTGAAGAAGATGAAAGGATGTTGATCTATGAATACATGCCCAATAAAAAGCTTGAATTCTTTTATTTTTGGTGTGTTTCTCTTTAATCTTCACCACTATTCTTTACATTATCTATTAACGTCACTATATATGTATTAATATGGCTGATAATATTTGAGCAGATGAAAGAAAAAGAAAGGCATTGGATTGGTCAAAACGCTACACTATTATAACTGGAATTGCAAGGGGTCTTTTGTATCTTCATCAAGATTCCAGATTAAGAATTATTCATAGGGATTTAAAAGCTAGCAACATATTATTAGATAAAGATATGAATCCAAGAATTTCAGACTTTGGTTTGGCAAGAAGTATGGAAGGAAGTAAAACAGAAGCAAATACAAGAAGAGTAATGGGAACATAGTAAGAACTTATATAAAACCGATAAACCTTAATCTTTAATCTTTAATTACACCTAATTAAAAACTAATTTATTTTTGTACATTTTATTTCTTGTAGTGGCTACATGGCACCTGAGTACACCATTGATGGGATTTACTCCACTAAATCTGATGTCTTCAGCTTTGGTGTATTGGTGTTAGAGATAATAAATGGAAAGAAAAACCGAGGATTTCGTCATGCAAATCATGATCTTAATCTTCTAGGACATGTAAGTTTCAATTTTCAACACCTGAAAGTGTTAAAATATTTCATTTTTTTTATGTATTAACATGACATATTTTGGTCAGGCATGGAGGCTGTATAAAAATGGGAAGCAATTGGAACTGATGGATGACACTATTAAGGGTTCATATGTACACACACAAGTGAACAGAGCAATTCATATTGGTTTACTATGTGTGCAAAAGTATCCTGAAGATAGACCAGATATGCCTTTGGTGGTTGTTATGTTAGGTAGTCAAATTCCGTTGCCTGAACCTAAACAACCGGGTTTTTATACAGAAAGAAGAAGACCACAAGAAGCAGATTGTTCATCTAGTAATCCTGAATGGAGTTCATCAAATCACTTATCAGTTACATATCTTCAACCTAGATAGAAATTGGTATAAGTGATTTCTATGTATATCTATCTAAGTTTTACACAAACAAGCTACGCAATTAGACTTGTTACAATTGTTTTAAAATAATATTTTGTAAAGAACAGCTAGAAATTCCATCGACGATGAGTGTATATAAGATGATGCTTTTGTTCATTGAAATTCATCGGCAAAACAGGTGGTGGTTTAGCGATTAACACAGATTCGGAGTTCGGAAGATTGGTATTTCAGCAATGTAACAAGCATCCTTGAAAATAAAATTATTACAACCAATTTTCAATGTTCTTACATGTCCGCAGTTGATGATACGTGATCTCAGGACGAAATGTTGTCATGAATTCATGATCTCAAGTAAGACCATGAATAGTAAGTAAATGTTTAATGAATTTGAGGAGACACCAAATATCGTACCTAGGGTTTCTAATGCACTTAAGACTAAAGGGAATGGTGTCGTGCAATGAAGCTTCTCTTGTTAAAGTAAGTAGCATGAGTTTTGGGGCCGGGATAGGGAGTTTTGGGAAAGTAGTGGGATGAAATGGGAAAGGTTATGGTTGCACAATAAAAAAAATCACAACTTGTTGAAAGTATGTAGTTAATTGTGAAAAGGTGGTGTGAGGTACACTTATTAGAGCACGGCGAAACTTATTTTCTTCTTCTAACGGTGGACGGTGTAGAGAGAAATGGGGTGGCGGTACCGGTGGTACCGTGGAGAGGATTATACTGAGCATCAACAGGTTGAGCTTTTGGCCTCAATTGCGGGTTACATAACCCGTTAATGTCTTCCTCTTTCTAGATTCACTCTCTACTCTTTCATGTTTTAGGTACTTGTTCATGCATAAATGCTTATACCATATGTTGTTTTGTATATTTTTAATTGAATGAGTTTTTTAATTGAATGAGTTGGGAAATATACCGTTTCCATGTGTTGTAAGTTGGAAAAAGATGGAGAAAGAAGAGACGAACGAGCTGATATGAAACTGATGTGTCGGCGGATTGAGCACGTTCTACTCCTAAGGCGTCTCTATTTAATGGTTAATTTTTCAAACAATTATTACTTTTGTTATATAAGGTTTCAAATAACAAAAAATTTATTGTCACAAACATTCTCCATAGTTAACATTATACTTTTTTTCTAATAAAATATTAACTAATTAGTTTAAGATTATCTATCTTTAATCTTTGATATTAAATAAAACCAATAATATAATTCAGGGAAATCTTCATAAATGGTCCCTATGGTTCCCCAAAAAACCGAGTTCGGTCCTTATTTATTTATTTATTTATTTATTTTATCTTTAAGGATGATCCCTGCGGTTTAAAAACTTTTAATGGATGGTCCTTTGGGTCACTCGGTCAAATCGGAGGCGTTAACTGCCCTCACATGCAGAACATGTGAGGGTACTTTCGTCATTTCACTTAAGCTCCCCTCATGTAATGCTGTTGATCATTTTGCCCCACATACTCACTTCTTCCTCTCTGTCCTATCAACCCTGTCCCTCTCCCAAGAAATCCATTTTTCCTTCATCCTCCCAACTTCCGATTAATAGAGCAACTTTAAGCTTTTTAGGGTTTCAATCAAACAAAGGAAAATGGTCCTCTGTGTTTGAAATGTCAGTGAAAATAGCAAAAAAAAAAAGATTGACTTGGAAGCTGAATACAATACACTTTTACATCAAACAAGCTATTTTTTCCTTATAATGTGTTCATCAAAGACTCACAATCTGTTTACCCTTTCTTATATGCGATTGCAGTAGGATTTCCTAACTACTTCACGTTTAAGATACATTATAGTGGATTGTTCACCAAGCCTCCAAGTAGAAAATATGTAGATGACATTGTCTTATATTTTTACTTCATTGATACATACCTTTTTTCAGTACATGACCTTGATGACATGGTTAAAGAGTTAGTATACCAAAATGAGCAAGCATTGTACTACCATTACTGTATCCTTGATGTCCCATTAGATTATCGGTTAATTCCTTTAGGGAATGACCAAGGTGTTCTAAAAATGTTCACATATGTCCCTAAACATAGACAAGTCAGTATGTACATTGAAACTGGGGAGAGAAGGGTTTTTACATATTTTAAGTCTCTATCCAAGGTTGTGATTGAGGATTTGGAACTTGAAACTGTTTCACTAGAGTTTAGGAGAAGAAAACCAACTAAAAGAGAAAGAGGTTCTTGTAGTAGAAAAGTAGATTAGAATAAACCTGTAAGTGAGGTAATTTTAGTAATACAATCACAAGTAACTGATGTTGATGAAGCCATAACATATGATAATTGTATTGTACCATATAGAATGTCAAATGCTACCTACGAAAGTCAAGTAATTAATGTTGAAATTGAGGCAAAAGTTAAAGGTGTGCATAATATATTAGAAATGTATCAAGGTGATCAAATGACAAGCCAGGTGGACCAAGGTGTCACAATGACAACATATGTGGATAAAAGGTGTTCCTAAGACAACATATGTGGAGAAAGGCGTTCCAATGATAACATAAGTCGACCAAGGTGTGCAAGATGAGCAAGAGCCAAACTATCATGTAGAATATAACTTCTAGAATGTAGAAAGTCCAACGTTTGAAGATGGTGATGGGGTCCAAAGTAATATGGTAGATGATTATGAGTCATTCCTAGAAGATTATTCAGTCTTGACTTAATTTGATGCATATTATAATCTTCAAGGAGAAAGGGAAAATGTGCAGACAGTTTCTTTGGATATGAAACTGGTGAGGATAATGACGATAGTAGATATGGAACCAGTGAGGATGGAAAAGGATAGTTTTGATAGTGACTTCAATATAGACGATTCAAACCTCTATTATCATGTAGATGTGGACATAAGTGAATTTTAGCTGCATGTGGATGATGATGAGCATGGGATACATGCAGATAAAACTATAATGTATGAGGTCCAAATATTGATGAATATCTTGAAGTTGTAGACACTGATATATATGATTTTGAAGGTTTTTATGAAGATGAAAGAAAAAGGATGCTAAAAGAGTTGAGCATGTCAAGTAAATGCTCACATGGGGAGGTTCACAAGAAGCCTTTTTATAGTGGGACAAGTTTTCAAGACAAAAAAGATGTAAAAACGTTCATGACTTTACATGCAGTCCAATCTAGGAGGGCCCTATATTTTGCAAGGAATGACAAAATCAGGACACAGGTCAAATATGAAGGTGTGGTTGGTATATCTGGTCAAAAGAATGGTTGGCCCTCAACAATGAGTAAAGTGGAGTGTAAGGGGAAAAGTGTAATGGAAAAAAAGTACTTGTCCTTGGGCTGTGTAGATTTCCAGATCTTGAGGAGTGGGTCCATCCTTGTTAGAATATCTCAACATGGAAGGCTATGTATTTGAACAAATCTGATCCTATAAATTGTCGTTCAATGTGGCAAAAAATTATTGTCCTTTCACTTTGACCCCTCCAAAACATCATAAACAGGTGTGAATTTGACTTATAATAAGCAAGGTTGTAAAAATCGCTCGACGGTAGCTCGACGGTCGACTGGTGTTAAGGGATTAATCGGTCTTGTCGGGGATTAATCGGGGACCATAGATTATTAATAAAATATTAAAATTAATTAAATATTAATATATCTTAAAAAAAACAAGTACTTCAAAATTAGAAAATAAGAAAAATTGTAATTTGGAAATTTGGAAATACGAAAATATGAACATTTTGGTATAATATTCGAAATTTTGAAAATTTGAAAATTTTGGAGTAAAAAAAAAGTTGGTTTTTTGAATTTTTTAAAATTTTTTTTTAACTTTTTTTTTACATTTTTTGACTTTTTTTTTTGACTTTTTTGACTTTTGTTGACCGATTAATCCCGCCAAGGCCGATTAATCCCGCCAAACCCGATTAATCCTAAATTTTCGATTAATGCCCTAATCCTCGATGGTTGGAGAACGCCAAGCGATTAATCCACGATTAATCACCGATTAATCCCGATTTCTGCAACCATGATAATAAGTAAATTGTTAGCATATAATAACCAACACAAACAATTTTCCTTATGCGTAGGTTGGGAGGCCAAAGAAGAAGAGGAAGAAGGGTGTTGATAAGGCAAGGAGCCAACCTACCAAGTTAAGCAAGAAGTATGTCATAATTACATGTGCAAAATGTCATAACAAAAGTAATAATTAAAGGACATGTAAAATGCAGGGAGCATTGGTCAATCATCACAAGTTGGAGCAAAAGGTAAGAAACAGGGTAAAGTTGTTGGATTAGGTGTCTAAGCCCATAATTATAATTGGTATATACTTGAATTGATAGTAGCACAATCCTTTTAGGGTGCCCGTATAACTAGCAACTAGACATGATGACTTTTGGAGAGAGGTTGGATTTATTATTTGATTAATAAATTGAAATAAATGATTTATTAATGTATTATGAAAATAATATATTAATTAGAAATCATATTATTCAATTAATAATTAATTAGAAATTAATTGGAACTAATTTTGGGATTAATTCAATTAATTAAAAGTGCAGGGGCTGTTTGACAACTTATTGATAGTTGAGGAAAGAGGCTCTAGAACCTCCCTAGAAGGGATGGACCAAAACTTCTAGGAAGGCCCTAGAATTTTCGTCCAAGGGCTTTTGGATGGGAGTTCATGGGCTGCTTAGTCCTTAAGCTAAGGAATTAGGGTTTCCTCCTAAAACCCTAGCTTTGGCTCTAAGCTACATCACCTATATAAAGAGCCTTACCCCTTCATATTTTTGGTAACTTGGAACCCTAAGGAGAGAAGCCGAAATTTCCCTCCTCTCTCCTCCCCCATCCTCTTTCTTAGTTTGGGTGTTATCTACTAGAGGCGTGATACTTGTGACGCTTGCTCTCGAAGTTCAGGATTAGTAGGATTTCATTGTCATCACTATATAACAATTAAGGTATGTTTTATTAACCCTTTTGCTATGTTTTTCGAAAAGAGTACATGCATGCTAGGGTTTTCTATTTGATGTTCAAAATTTATATGTTCAATTAGAGAA